ATGTATTTGATCAGATCTATACAGAGATATACTGTAGATGCAGAGGTAGTGTGAAGGTACTTCATACTTACTGTAAATACAGTTCGAGGGAAAACGCTTCTTTCATTTCATATATAAGGTATAGTTATTTAGGAGTGGAATACATGTATTTTGTAATATTACATCTGCATTTCATTTCTTCTACTAAAACACATGAAAGTGGCACTTTGTGATGAGAGTTTCTGTGTCAAAATGTCTGATTCTTTTACTTTATTTTATGATAACTGAAATGTATATGTGACAATGAAGTTGTATTATATGCCTTTACACAGCACAAACATACAAACGCTCCCTCTAGCTCATTCCTAACCACTGTCCTTCGTGCTCTCTCAGCACGTGCTCTCTTCAGTTATGGCTCCCCAAACTTCATGCACACACACACTTTGAAGCCCTGAGGTTCACTCGTTCAATTCAACAAAGACAAATGATATCAGACAAGAACATTCATAATAATTGGAGTAAACAGCTGCATCAGCATGCTGTGAAAGAACAGGTAAAGTTTAATTCCACGCAGAAATGTAAAGAAAAGAAACACAACATATCGGCTGTGGAGCCTTCTTCAGGTGTGAGGGAGAGAGAAAGTAGCAGATAAATAAGGCAGGGAGAAAAAAGGTCTAAACTCAGGGAGATCAGCAGGAGTGGTGTGAAAAACCAACATCTGCAAATGAATAGAGTAGATCTAGAAGGAGATGAGTCTGTCGTTAAGAGAAGGGTGAAGGGGTGATCCTAATTTCAGAATAGGTTGGGTCTCAGGTGTTTTTCTGCAATAGGAGTTCTGAAACCCCTCTATGAGGACAACAGAGAGATGGTGGCCATTAGAGGTGAAATGGAGAACTACTGGCTTGGAGAGATCTTTGATTCCCACATCTCTGACATGGTTCCCTGAAAAATAGAAAATACATACTGTGGATGTGAAATCTTGGGCATTCAGTAACATGAAAGAAGGTGTGAATAAGACACAGGCTGCAAAATGAACTTGCCCTTAAGACACGACAGTGATATACTCAGTGTTACTCTGTGTTAGCACTGTTCATAAATGTGTGCTGCTGTACATGTCTGTTTCTGTGCGCCAGTCAATGGAATGTGTGCTGAGTGTGTCCTTTTTTCTTCTCCACATGTCGGAATCGCCTGTGACCTTGACATGGGATTTCAAAATCAGGTGAGTAAAGATTTTGTGTTTGCGTGGATTTATGTGTTATGCGTGTCTATATAAAGTGACCTCATCAGCAAAGATTATTATTTGTAAATCGGTCAATACAGTCAAGGCAAAAAGGTTTATTGACCTGACAGCTATCTTGCAATTAAAGATACATTCAATATCAGGTATGCTAAATACAAGCTAATATCCTCACTTTCTGGACCATACTTTAACTACAGCATAGCTAATGTGATACTAATGCAATAGCTAGTGTAATCACTGCCATCCTTGACACAAGTACTGTAAATAACACAGATGAGCTTTGGTAAAATGGATCACAGTCTCTTCGAGGACTGGATTTTAAAACATCTCTTTTTTCTTCAGATCCACCCTTCATCAAGGATGTCAAGAGCTCTGAAACCCAGGTGGGACATACAGGAGTCCTGCAGTGCATTGCTTCAGCAGTGCCCACTCCGGAGTTTGCGTGGTACAGAGATGAAAAGAGGTAGGAGATTCTCTTGCAATTACATTGTTTTGTTACTTTAGTTATTCAGGAAGTCATTCTGTGAGGCCTGTTCCCTACTCCATTTCAGATTTCAAATTTCAGAGTCAATATATGTGTACAGTTTGACAGTAAGGAAGTCTACACCGATTCTATTCTATAAGATCCTATTTGAAACCAAAATAGGTGAAGTAGGTGTAGTTCTACTACATGTATGTACAACAGCAAGCTTGTATAGTGTGCGGCGCAGCTGTTTTGGATCTGACATTTGTTGAATTGCTATTTTCTCCTTTTCTGTTGGGATTGTCACTGCTCCAAAACTAACGGCCCAGTTTGTCAGTTTGAATATAATATGAAAATGAGTAGAGTCCAGAGTGAAGTCCAGTTCATTTACGTTCAATACAATCGAGAATTGGAACTTAAAGTTATCGCTTCCTTCCTAGACTATCCAATACCCAGGGAATTCAGATCCAGATCCTGGGATTCCGCACTATTCTGTTTGTGTCCAATGTGACCGAGGATGATTACGGCAACTACACATGTGTGGCGTCCAATAAAATGGGGATTCACAATGCCAGCCTATTCCTATACAGTAAGTATGCTTACAAATGACACTCCAGAGCTTTGAAAGAATGTCCATCAAAGGTTTAAACCTCTTCTCCTCCACAATATTGGCTAGGTTTTCTACAGCAAACACCGATCTGCATGTTAGTGCTTAGTCCCTTCTAATATTTCTGTGACTTGGAAAAACATCGTCTTCACAGGACATTTCTGACGTTAGGTGTAAAAGGTTCCAATATTCACCAGGGCATTTGACTGACTTTACTTCAGCGCCCAATTTGGTATTCTAAATTTGTCTTCAACAGTTTTAAGAATGCAGCTTTAATGTGTCATCTTCAGATGTAGCCAGCAACTTTTTGCACCACCTGAAAGCTTAAAAAGAAAGTAATGCATTTAAGATCTGGATAGAGGTCCTCTGGATAGCAGTGAGAAACTATAGAAATTCTTATAAGCAGAATATACCAGGATCTGATACATTGGCAAGCACCTTTAATACTGGAGTTTAATAATAATAATTGCTTACACTTATATAGCGCTTTTCTGGACACTCCACTCAAAGTGCTTTACAGGTAATGGGGATCCCCTCCACCACCACCAATGTGCAGCCCCACCTGGATGATGCAACGGCAGCCATTATGCGCCAGACCGCTCCCCACACATTAGCTGTTAGTGGGGAGGAGAGCAGAGTAATGTAGCCAATTCATAGAGGGGGATTATTAGGAGGCCATTATTGATAAGGGCCAATGGGAAATTTTGGCCAGGACTTAATATCATTAATATTGAAATACTTGAATACACAGTGCTAAAGGTTGATTTACGTCTGTTTTTCTTCTTTAACATTTCCCTTATCCTCTTGTGATTATTATATACAGTATTTCATTGATTCAAAACAGAGAGGAACCTACAATAAGTGCATAGAGCAAGAGTTTCCATTCATCCACAAGCACCTCAGTTGTTATCACTTGCCCGGTACAATTATGGCACACATTTTTATGCTGTGGTTTTTCTAAATGAAGTATTTGTATCACCCAGTTTTATAAAATATACAGTACCATAGGCATAATATAACATGCATGCTGTATTCTGTATAATATAACAGGCAGTTTTAAACTGTAACTGTAATTAATTTAAATCTCTTATTAAATAATTTATCTTATTTTTAGCTATAATAGAAAAAAGGTAATGACTGACAGCACATCCAGTACATTGTAATCATTTCCTTTATTTCAGAAGGTATTTTTAAAAATAGCTTTCAACTCTTATCAACTCTTTCAACTCTTAAAAGCTGTCTTTTATATAAATGCATATGATAGCTACAGCAAATAACTACATTTAAATTTTTTATTGTTTTATTATGAACTTTTCATTTTCACAAAGATAACCACACAGTTGACAGATTATAAAGATCAACATAGTTTAGTCAGAAACATTTTTAAAAGAGTATATAACTACAACAACAAAATCAATACCCTTCCAAATGTGAAATCTGTATTTGTGTTGTGTGGGAAAATCTCAGTAGACTAAACTACTTACGGTCATTTTTCTACAAAAGTCGTGGCTGGATTCTCTCTTGTTTCTTTGTCTAATTTATTTTTGCACAACTGTTTCAGGAGGAACTGACCAAAGTCTTAAATTTCAGTTTCATATACAGTATCTACTCCATGAGTGTTTGTAGTATTTATATCACTGGTAAATATTAATTTCCGTCATGTTTTATGAATTGATGATTTACTGTTTAGGTTTTGGTAACAGAACATCTGTCTAATAATGATAAAATATGTAAGGACTGCAAACAGTAACATCTGTTAAAGTTTCAATAGCAAAACCATTTTTACACTCAGTACTGAAGCTACTGAGATAATCCAACAAAATTCTAATCCTTATTCTACAGGGAAAAGTATTTAAAATGTGTGTATTTTTTACAGCTCAGAAAGATCCAAGTTCTAATTATCCCATTTCAACTTACCAGAGCTGCCTGTCGTTTTTTTTTTCAGTCAACTGGTGTGTAGAATGAGCATTATTTCTATAAATTCATTTTCGCACTGAAATTTAAGCCAAATTGCACTCCCCCAATTTAAAATGCAGTACTCTATCTCCCTGCCACTTACGTGGTTTCAGTGAATATTTTTTCATTCATAGAGAGCAGACATGCATGTGAAAGTGCTTGTCAAAAGGTAATACTGCTTACAGTGCGAGTCTTGTCACTGTCTCCAAATGCAAGGTGATCTCTGAATATTTTGGGCAGTGTTCTGAGCCGTAGTTTTTGTTCAAATCCAACAATTGTGAGTATGCAGCATACAGAAAAGATAGAAGGTAGAAGAAGGTCTGCTAGTTACTGTATCACTGACGGATGGGGATATTAAGCTAATACAAAACGCATGGAGAGTTTTTCATCTGTCCTCCACCACAGCCTCTTCTGGGCTTGGGCGAGTAAGCAGATGGATCGGTCACAGAGGAATAACTATCTAGATCCCCTGTTCTCCCCTCCATGATCAATAGCTACTGGTGCATGTGAAGAGAGTTATGTATGAGGATGAACCACACGCTCTCAGTGCCCGCAAGAGCACTGACCATGCCTGTGGATGAATCCAAGGGATATTTCTGCAATCACTCAGAATATATCAAAGTCACTCCGTTTGAACAGGCTGCTGAGTGCCTGCAGGCCACAAGGGGTGGTGAGGTGGAATTCGTCCAGACGAAAACTTTACAAAGCGACTTGCAGAACAATGGTTTTAGCTATTTTTTTCCCCATTCTCATGATTCTTCATCTTCTGTGGTTATCAGCGGTTTGCATCCAAGAGTGGGGCAAGTGTGCTCCCACCCTGTTTGTCATTGTGAATGCTGTAGCTGTCTTACCAGAGAGATAAGCTTCCTTTCTAAGTGCTCTCTCAGCAGCCAGTGCACATGTCTTTGGGCCAGCCCATTTGCTGAGCAAGCAGTGCGCTGTTTGCTCCCTGAATGGAGTAGATAGGCAGTGAGTTATAGATCAAAGACAAGTGTTTTGTTTACCTCGCTGCCCTGCCAGCGCTGTCAAAACATCACCTTTAAGGAAACATCCGTATTTCTGTCTTTCACTAAAAGTGTGAAAACAACTTTTCATGACAGTTACTGGACAGAGAGGATTACTTTGTAATGGACAAATCATTATTTTCTTCCCTCTTCAAATTGTCTGCACTTGAAATTCCAAGCTCCTAAGCTAAAAAGTGTAAAAGAAACCTGCATTAAAAAAACCTGGCACCTGTAAGTTTTCAAAAGAAAGTATCTGATGAAAATTAATATTTTATTTAAAGTATTTTTCATTATTTTATGTTTGTCACTGAACCGAATGTAACATCAATTATTGAAACAATGTACAGTTTTATGACTTACAATTTAGGAGAGATAGGAGCTAGAGACAAACCAAAACGTAGTAATAAATATTTCAGCTTTGCAAGGTCATAACTGTTTTTATAAAGTATAAATCAAGTAAAGCTTATATTAATGTTTTGTCAGCTTTTTATGCTTTGCTTACTTGTTCCTTTGTCATACATTTTCAAGTCAGAACCCTTAAGCTCTGTACCAAATTAGCAAATCGCTGAAGAACAGCTTGATGCTACAGTATACAGTAGCTTAAACTGAAGTTTCTATTAAAATCAGAAATCGTTAGAGTGGGAACTGATGCATGGATTACAGATGCCAAATATTGTACAGAGTGCGATTTAACCATCAGAAAGGAAGCCTCAGTTGTACTTTAAAAATTATGCAACTGTCAGCAATACAAAAATCTGAATTCTTTTTTGTAGGCAATTTTATTTTTCTTTAGATATTGTAATAAAGTATTTTAACAATAATACTTTTAGTATTTTCATGGTCTGTTTTTATATCTGTATTTTAAATCAAGTAGCTGATTTTTATTATTTTGTTATTTCAATTGGTGTTATTGTTACGGAAAGGTACTTACAGTATTACTGGAGGTTAGGAGCATCCGAGAGGAAACCCATTAAAGGATTTCAAGGTAATTTGGAATCCTAGGAAAAGTATGCCATATTTACAAGCCTGGAAAAACAAATCTGTGGTGGTGTGACATAAAATAAAACTGGGATTGTTTCCATGTGTATGTGGCTTTTGTGGTATTTGATTAAATCAACTTGAGAGGGTTTACACCTGTGAAGACAGGAGTCATACTGTCTTGAATGTCTCCTGCCAACACGGAACAGAATGAGGGTGTGTTACCTCTGCAGATGTCACAATTAAGCCATTTGTGCAAAGACAAGGACATAATGAAGTACAATCGCAAATAAAGTAGAAATAAATGGGTTAATCCCTCTAATTAGACATATCACACTGAAATTAAGAATTTCACTGCTGATGGGTTTGTAAATTCAGAGCCCACAGTGAAAAACCCTTTCACTTTATTGTATGCAATTAATTAATCCTCTGATGAATGCTTGGTATTTAAAACACAATGAAAAGACAGCCAGCTTCCTGATATGTTATTTGCCTGTTCTACAGAAGGAACTTAGTCTGTGGAAGTTGAGGTTCTGTAGGAGCCAAGTCCTTTCAGGAACACCTACAATGAAAGTTTGAAAATAAAAATGGAAGTAAAACAAAGCAGTAACAGAATAGGCTTTTCAAGGGCGATTTAACTTCTAAATCTAATTAGAAACTACTGTATAACCCTGTCAGCCTGGAAAAAATGAACTCGAAGGCCATTCTTTGTTGGAATAACTACTGCAAGTAACACTATTCAGACTTTGTTTCACTGAGCCGCAGTTTCAAGGTAACATCTGCCTTTACCATTCAGATATTTTATATGTCTGAAAATCTTAAGATTTTCAACTTGATGGAAATTAAGGCAAGAAGGCAAGAACATGAGAACAATGCCAGAACATGTTCTTGACCCAGCACTTAAATCTTGTCACATGGAAAGCTTTGATGAGAAATTAAAAAAAAAGATACTCGTACAATGCAGCCACTAAGCTGTGACATGTACATGTAAGTGACATGTCGATGTATTTGATCAAATATCTGGAACTGTTGAACACAAAATGTTTTTATTCCCCTCTAGAGGCTGTTTTACCCACTATCAAATACCCTGCTCGAGGTCAGTATGGATTAATTCTGTACTAACAATCTGAATGTTCACGTTAGATTTGATTGTGAAAAAAAAATGGATGTTAAAGGAAGGGTTTGCACTCTAAGCTTCCAATCAGTAGGAGCTTTGAAAGCAGATATCAATGGCCCTTATGTTTATTCATAAACTAGAAACTTTGGCTGACTGTTAGTCAGTCAGATCTACTCATGAGCAGTTAAAGCTCCAAAACTGCTAATGTCTGACACCGATTGTTTTGGCAGTTCACACAGTGTGTCGGGTTCTGTGGAAGAGCAAACCATAACTGGCAGTTTGTCCAGCCAAATTAAACAGCTCTTTGTGATCATTGTTCTTGTTGCTATCACAAATCGTGCCCTGCAAATTCCACTGAAGGAAGACTTTGCAAATTTACCGTGAACATTCAGCACAACACAAAAAGAGAGGTAGATGGAAACCTGCTCTTTAGAACTACAGTAGCTTTTCGTATCTTTTCATAGAAACTAACACCTGGGGTCTTGAATTTCTGGAATGTACTCCACAGCTGTATTTAAAATGTCACTTGTCTCATCTACATTTGCAGTGTTCCAGTGAATTGAAACATCTGGATGAAGTTCGATTTATTACTGGGCCAAGTAGTCCACAATTCAATGCATCTCCAGCTGCAATACATCCAGGATGACATGTTTTCAGGCCTTGGAAGACACTAGATTCAATTACACGCAATGACAAGTCCAGGCCAAGAATTACTGTAGGTCTGATGCATTTTAAATGAGTACATGCTCATTTTAAACAGCTGCTAGCTATGTAGCCACATTTTAAATATTCAAAACCATAGTTTGTTGGACAGCTTAATTTGATCACGAGGAAATAGAAACCAGACTGGAAATGCATTGCAGATGGAACAGATGACACTTTAACTTCGTTCTTTATACATCTGTTGGTATTCTCAAGGCAAGAACTATCTTCCTTGGTGAAATGTATCCGTATGTACAAATTTTCATTTCAGAGATGCTTTTCTGCGTTTTGCGCATCATGTAAAACAGTGGCATGCTTGCCTGATTTTCCATGACTGTCACATACGGCTTTGGGAGCGGTGTTACACCAATTTTATCCTCATCCTGTGTTACTGTGGAAATGGGACTGAATAATTGCCTGTTTTTGCTCTTTAAAGAAGAATGACACAGAGGTGGAAAGAGTTACAGTATATGTGATGCATAAAAATGTGTTTCTTTCCAGCTCATGAATACTCTCAACCACATACTCAGAGCTGTAGATTCATAATGCATCAGTTTCAACTCTGCCATGTATTTAATAATGACTGTGAAGGATTCTGGTGTGGGGACATGTAAATGGAAGACATCAGTGGAAGGTGTCTCGTTTCCTTGCGTTACCGATGCCAGGTTTAGCAAACTCATTAACTGCTACACTGTGCTCTGTCGGCAGTTACACTTGCCATTCTTATAAACATGAATGACAGAAACAATTGGTAGTATGGAGCTATATAGTCTTGAATTTCCAACTCTGAAATTGCTTGGGTTGTTTTTAATTATGTAGAGAAGAAAAAAAAAAAACACCTTTTCCAAGCATGTACAGCACTACAGCCAAAGAACTAATTTTTTTGAAAGTATTGCCAGAAGCATTTTTATTTGCAGTAACAAAGTTCAAACTGAATGATGGATGTCAAGTTTCAGACAGAATGCCGGTAGAATTTAAAAGCTTGAAGCAGAAAACATTTTCAATCCGAGATCTACAGGGGTAGTAAATAATTACGCTAATTACCACAATGTGTTCCTTAATGTAATAGAGGTTGAAAATGTTCAGTTGTAAATAAAAAATTGATGAGGTGAGGGTTTACTACACTTCTGAAAAGCATTACAGTCAGACTGAACCAACTTTGCATGCCCCCCACTTTCACATTAAGAGTGATCTTCTGGTGCTTCACAAGAACAGTCTTATGTATTGTTCTGGTCACTAAAAAATAAATGTGAGCCCTGTCCTACTTTAACAGTTGCACTCCAGTCCTTTGTCTCCTTGGGGCCTAGTTGACATCTGTCAGGCGTAATTACTCTTTGGTTTTCCGTTCATGACTAGCATGTCTTCACTTATAAACTAAAATGGCAGTCACCTGCTCTCTGCACATTATACTGCAAAGGAATGTGGCCTTGCTCAACTTCTTTGGTCTTTTAAGCAGGATTAAGCTTCATTTTTTTAGTTTAATCAGTTTTACCTTTCTTGATTTTTGTTTTGATTATTATACATGGCGTTTCCAGTATACAAAATGTGTAAATCTCAGAACTGCATTTCGCAGCACAGCTAGGGTCTACTGACAGAAGGCAGCAAAGTGTCTGGAGAGAAAGGGGAGTGTTGTTCCAAACTGACCGATAATTTACACTTTTTGTTTTGTACGCAGCTCTTGCTATGTGGGTTAGGATTCTCCAGGACTGTCCTGCAGTTATTGGCAAATTTGATTTAAATTATATAATAGGGATTCCAGTTTTATACTTGCCAAAGGTCGGGGAGCAGTCCCAGACAACTATATTCATGTTGGCTGTGTGAGACAGGGAACAGTGTGGTAATCCAGTTATGCTTTTACATACAGTGTGTGCTAGCCATCAAAAAGCCCATGTGATTCCTTAGGGAGTGTTTCAGGCTGCATCAGCAATATCATTTCATGGATCAGTGCTGTGATTTGAAAGAATGGGTTTCACAGAGAGTTCTGTTGTTGCCTGTTGTGATTCTGTCCTAAGGACAAAACAATAACAGTGAAGTGCAAAAACACTTCTTAAGTCCATGGCTAAACAGATTATACAGTGCCATGGTGAAACAGTATGAGCTGCGTATGCTTTGCACCTTTTCAGTATTTGGAAAAAATATACTGTAACTGCGTTTGTGGGTAGGTGTCATGTTTTGCACTAACAAGGGTTGACATGAGAGATTGTGAAAAGTGCAACATCTCACTACCATTACACTGCTTTCTGCCTTTGGTATCTGTCTCCTTTCTCTGAAAGTTTTGTGAAATTATATTTATAATAGCATCATTAGGGCCGTTTGAATAAAGGAAATATTAAGGGTTTTTTTCTTACCATTTTTCTATACAGTTACTGTATATATTCGTTGTTTAATCAATGAACACTTCTATAGCCAGGAGCTTTTCATTTGAATATGCTTCAGCTCATAAAATATAGATTTGGTTTAGTTCAAATGGAAAACACAGGTCTGTGACATTAATGTATTACATACTGCATTTCAAGAATAAATTATCAGAATTTGAAGGCATAGAATATTTCTGATATTCAAATACGAATCTATATGAAATAAAGAAAGTAGAGACAACGATATGGAATATTTTTACACACTGAAATTAGAGATGATATTGCATAATTTAGCCATTTTCACCATAGGGTGTTCTGATGTGAGATCTTTCCCTGGATTGAGATAACAACAGAGCATACAGGAGAAACAACATTGAGACATTGTATTTCAATTAAGTCTTTTGCCTTTCAAATTGAGCAACATCATGAAAATGAAGTCAGCAAGAAACCACTTGAACTCTGGTGGAAAGAGTTCTCAGGATTTCAGACACATCAGGAGTCTTGCACGTTGTGATCAATTAATTGTTCACAGGGAACATTTTATAGTAACATCTTTCTGAGACTAAGGAGTTTACTGGAGCATATTTTTAATCTCTACAAACAGAGCAATTCCATCTTTAAGCCAATTAGTATGTTTAAAAAATATAATGAACTTCTTAGAACTGTTATCAAGTATGTTTCTTAGAGTTTGCATGAGTAAGAAATCGTTCTGGAAATCCACATAGAAATAATATAATTTTGTTTGACTTCCTTGGGTTAGTGTAAATATGTGTACGTTTTCTGCATATTAATCAATTTTATAGAGCTGGCCTTGTTTGGTGTAAGTCTTCAGGCATTGATGGCTAGTTTATTTAAATTGGAAAAACTTATGGATGTAAAAAACTTGATCAGTTCTGTACTACTGTACAGTATATCTCAGGTTTTGTGGAAATGCCGCAGGTTGATGAACCAGCTGCGTGCACATGTGAGAGACGACTACAAAGGCACTGTCTGACTAAGAGGTGTTTGTGCTGACAGCTGAAGTGCCTTGTGGCCATGGTACAGATTGTCATGACTGGATCCACTTGTTAAGTGTGCCTAAGCCCTTCAGCCATGTACGTGAACAGAAACTTCTGGAACTGAGGCGTATAACATAGTCTATAATGTCGCCTTGTGTAACAGAGATGTGGACCAGTTGATTATTGAGTCACTAGGCTCCGCCAGCTTCAGAATTCACAATCTGACGGGGAGGAAGTGTCTCCTCAGCAAAATCATGGAAAAAGCACAGAGAAGAGAATGATATAATTACTAAGTTTTGTTTTTCATTCCTGATGTAAAAAAGAGCTAATGTTGGTACCCAAGAAGCCAGCAGACTGCGATGGACCACAGAGAGACATGCCCAAGACTCAGTGGAATATGGTTCAGTCCTCTTTATTTGTTAATAGTATTGTAGGACCGTTCTAGATGTTAATGTGCATGTTTATTAGGGAAATATCAAATTAAATTAAATAAGTTTGCATCACCATTTTAGTTTTTGACAACCTTATTTCTCTGAGATGGTAGTGCAATTAATTAAATGCCAGAATTGTTTATATGAACTGAATAGATCTCACAGATGTCACTTTTTTATTCTAATTATCTTCTTACAGTAATGGCACAATCCTTGGTAGTTGACTGGGTTCAGTGTGTATAAAAGTCCTATGTGACTGGATTGCAAATAGAGCCAGAGTCTGTTGATTAAAGAGTTTGTATGTCAGTATAACCACCAGCAGGAGCTTTCAGCTTTTGTTTCGCATTTACTCCCTTCGATAATAATTTAAAAATGCCGAATGTTCTTCATAGCAAAGTCTTTAATGTTTCTCTTCTGGCACCTAGAATAAACTGCTTGTGCTGTGACATAATACTGCAAAGTCTAGCAAAGCCACCAAGGAGTACATCAAA